CACTTTGGCTTGAAAGGTGCCAGTACCTGTACCGAAAAGAACACTAATCGTGTTAGTACCTTCATTTGCTACAGCTAAATCCATGTTAGTATCTTGATTAAAATCCGCTGCAACCACCATCCACGGAACGACTCCCGTAGGATAATCCACTCTAGGTGAAAATAGTACCGCCACTCCAAGCAGAATGCTAACTACGCTCGCACCAGTACAAGCGACAGCCAAATCGATAGTGTCATCATTATTTGCATGAAGGAAGATAACGGATTGTGGATCTGTGCTAACAGGATATGGAGTTACTTCTACCACAAACGATCCGTTACCATCGCCAAGTAAAATACTGACTGTGTCTGGACCCTGATTCGCCACAGCCAAATCAAGATTGGTATCCTGATTTAGGTCAAAAGCAGCGATGGAAAAAGGGATGGTTTGCACGGTATAATCGACTTTGGATTGAAATGTACCACCAACAATACCGAGAATGTGACGATTCATATATTACGCCTCTTCGAAATAGGAAGGGATCCATAACGAAGAATAGAATCGTGTTGCACCTGAAAAGATGCAACTGTTGGCTCTTCTAGCTGCTGATGAAAGCTCTCTATACTAATTAGATAGTCAATCGTAGTGCTGAAAATGGAGTGCTGGACCTTAGTACATTATTTTGACCTGCAGGCCCGATCTTTTTTGATTGCACATGCGAGAAGGAAGGACGAAAAGAGAAAACGTGATCTTCGCGGTTTCTTTGCGATAGGTTTCGAGTAGGTTCGTCAAGCGCTTGTTATTTTAAAACTGATTTTCTATCAAAAGATGTGTCAGAGTTTTTGTTTTGGTTTCATGTAAATCCCTATTACTACTCTATCAAGTGTCATTCGAAAAGTATCCATGCTTTTCCTTGTTTGACAAGGAAAGACAGTATTAATGGATTATAAATCAATACCTTAAAAAGGTTTTCGATCGAGTGTCTTATCAGAGTTTAACCACGAATAGATCAGCATCGAACTGCGCAATAATGAATTTTCTGTGGTCACTTAGACCAAAGAAGGTTGGTGAAATCGCATAAGACTCTCTTGAGAATGTCACTCAACTCGTATAGAAGATCATCCGTGAAAGCGACAAGAAGTCTGGTAAGTCGTACTGGTAAGAGTGAGCAACACCCGTCTGTTATTCGTGGGATATTCTTTTAAGATTCATTTAAAAAAGGTAGTTGACCCGCTTACGCCTAGGACAACGTGACAACTATGTGTCATGTTCGACCTATTATATCCTAACGTCCTTCCTCCTCTTTTACATCCGTGTAGTGTATAAACTGCCGTATAATTTAGAATGTTTACATGAGTGATTATTTTGTGTTTATCAATTCTATCATTAATAAAGTGAAGAACCAGGAACGGTTAGATTTGGAGCATAAACTTCCTTATCAAGCGCACGAATTCTCAGCAGTTGGTCATGGAGGGGAGGGGTGA